TAGTGTATGCGAGTATAAGTGAGCCTGGTGGTAACTGTTAGTGTACGCAAGAGTATTAGAGAGCCTCTGGATAACATTAGTTTGAACTGTAATTCATTAAATATGTTTGATTTCTTCTAGGAAATCCCAAGTACAATTAATTCCTTGATGAAGTTAAAGATATTAAATCTGGGGTAAGTTTGATATTTTTTCAAATTTCATGGGTAATAGTTAAATATTGAAATTAATTTAACATCTAGAAATAAATAAAGACTGTTTTCTGCATACAATTCTGAGTCAGTGAATCATTAATTTACCTATCAAAATTCTACACTTTTAATGCAGTGATTTTCTAAACCAATATGGCCTGTATCTGTGTCAGTTTACATGTGAAGTGTACAAACCACTCATAGTGGGTCCAGTTTGTCTAGATCTCTTGTCTTTTAACTACATATTACGTAATGAGATACTTAAATTATTTTTGTTTCAGAATGAATAAATTGAACTCCTTGCCCCGTGGTTTTGGCGCCTTTCCTGTGTTGGAAGTTTTGGAACTGACCTACAACAATTTAAATGAGAAGTCTCTCCCTGGAAATTTCTTCTGTTTGGGTAAACACAGTGACTTTCTTGTAGATGTAAAAGAAAAGTGGATAACATAAAATTATTTACATTTGTTCTCTACGTTGATATGATTAGTGTTTTAACTTCCAAAGCAAAAAGTATTGTGAAATTCAGCATAAAGAAAAGGCATGTTAACTTGTGCAAGAATTATATTCTCTAAAACTGTCCCACATCCTCACCTATACAATTTGTTTATTGGATAGTCATGTCGTCATTACACATTGACTCAATAGGACCTCGGAATATAGATTTAGATATTCAGAAATTTAGATGTGTCAAAATAAAAATACTAGGAATTGAGGAGGTATCAAAACAGAGGAAAAACATGATGAGCACCAACATGGTTTCATTTTACATCATTTCTATTTCAGATACATTGAGGGCTCTGTACCTTGGGGATAATGATTTTGAAATTATTCCTCCTGAGATTGGCAGGCTAAAGAATCTTCAAATTGTGAGTACCTATTAATAAAAAGATATCATACAGTTATTTAAGTCTTGTTTATGATCAGTGAAGTAAAACAGGAATAGTGGCAAATTAGCCTGTTTGACAGAACCTCGCTAATAAACGTTAAATCTTCCTAGGACATATCTTATAGGTCAGATATACATAATATGCTTTCTATTATTTAATGTTTTGTTCATCAATGTCCTTTCAGTAAATGTTTCTACCCGTGATGTATAAAAAAAAATGAGAAATAGAAAAAATACTGTAAACATGTTGATTCATGTCAAGGTGTGGGAGGGATATGGAATACATTTAACATGTATGCTGATTTTTTAGTTGGTGATGAGAGACAATGATCTGATAGCCATCCCTAAAGAGGTAGGAGAACTGCCTCGCCTCAAGGAGCTGCACCTTCAGGGGAACAGGCTTACCGTACTGCCTCCAGAGTTAGGTATGTCTAGTAACGGAGCGACAATGATAATAATGCAGGTTTATAGAGTGGAAATCTTAGGGTTTTAAGACTCATGAACCCACTTTACTTAAGTGCATATGAAAATCTGGAAACTTTGAATAGAAAGGTAAAAATAGGACATCCCTGTTCATTTATCTTCAATAAGCATAATTACTAAATGTTCCCTCCTACATGAACTTCAATGAATAAACACAAATTTTTCTTGTACATATTCAGCATTCCGAAACATATAACTGTTATAAGTTAAGAATGTCCCACTGAAATGTTAGATAAGACTGACTTCTGCTTTTATTTGAGGAACATAAGAAATTTGTGATTCAGGTAACCTTGATCTTGTGGGGTCGAAGCAGGTGTTCCGTGGCGAGAACAACCCCTGGGTGACCCCGATAGCTGACCAGTACCAAGTGGGCGTTTCCCATGTGTTTGACTACATCAGATCTGACACCTATAGATTGTAAGTTTATTCTCCACACTAGTTAAATTCTAATCTAACAATTCTAGAAAATGGGGGAAATCTGACAGTTTGAGCACTTTGGTTCCAAAAAAAATTAGTTTGAATGAAACCCATCTTGTTTAGAGCGACATTTAAAATTGTTAAAGAGTACATATATCCTAAACCTTCATGTCCAAAACACAAATTTTATGGTCAGTTGGTTTGGATGTGTATACAAGTTAAAACAATAACACAACCAGTTAAATATATGTATGCAAAGTTTGGATGACTGGTACAGTATTTACTCTGTCACTTTCATCAGGCAAATGACTGGTAAAGCGTATGTACATATATGTACAAAAAGATGATCAAATCGCCAAATAAATTTGTTAAACACCTAGTCGTAGATGTGTAAAAGTATATGAGCCCCCTCATCTCGATTCAGTATTTGCTTGCTGTGGCACATCTTTCTTTATCTGCCACATGAAAAGGATGAACAAATTTATTTCTTGTTATATTAGTGTTAGCATAGGCCAGTAATATTCAATTATTTTAATATCTGTATTTTCACAGAATTAAATTTTCTGTGGTCAGAAAATGGAATCCTTATTGAACTTGTTATTAATCGGTATTCAATATTACATTGACTTCTGTTGCAGTTTGTATGGCCGCCATATTGCTGCGGAATCTGCGCCTCCTCCAAAGACAAATGACAAGTCTAAGAAGATCAGCCGAGGGTGAGGGTTGGATACCCTGGGGAAGAAGAATACTCAACTTACAGATTACTCAAAACAGCAGAGAGTCAACTAAGCCATCAGGGTTTACACTAAAACAAACAGGAAACCTTAACAATTTTATTTGGAACACAGATTTGTAAACTACTTCTCTGTTGTGGAAACAATATATTGCTTGAAGTCTTTTGGAAACTGTTCAAGATTTTTTTTTAATTGTTTATAAAAGAATTGAATCTCTTTATTGTCAAGTTTATGGAATGAGAATTGAGTGTTCTGGAGACAAATTACTGTTGAAATTATATCTTGACCATCTTAATTCATCAACCTATGAACTTGACCATGAAAAGATTCAACACTTTTATTTCAGTTTAACATACTAACATAATGTAATGAAAATCAGTAAAAGATATCTGTCAAGGTCAGTTCTAATCAGGGATACCTTTTCCTTTATTGTCCTGTTCATGTTGCCAATTAAACAGGTTACATTGAATAGTTTCATTGGGTTCAACTTGAGTAGAAAGTGAAGTATGTGTCGGCGAAAGTATTTTTATATGAACAATGTCACCTGTTTTTGTCATATATTCAGTTTTAACCAAAGACGTTTGTATTTTTAAAGATCCTCCAAGTAAATAATTGTTTGGCAATCTTGACGATAAGGTAGCTGATGGTTTTAGATAAATGGTGCTATTTTTTGTCATGTCTTTTTATAGGTAGCCAGTACAAATACCTAAAGCATTTACATCTCATGGGGTCACATACATTTCTCCATTTATCGTTTGCTTAATTTCTTTTCTCAATGTCAATAAAATAATCTGTACATTTGTTTTAAGAATAATGTACAAGTTTTATGAAATCTGTTTTCTTGACTTGCTGCTTTGATTAGGTTGTATGGTATTTATATGTATTACCTGGTAGTAACAAATTGAACCCCTATTATTTGGAGACATCTGTCTGTTTGATGTGATATAAGCTGATTAACTCATTAGACTCCTGATGCCGGGCAATATATCATACTACCAGTAACGGTGACTGTGGTGTTTGTATTTTGGAGTAAAACATGATGTTAACATAGCTATAGGATTGGCGGAGGTTAGCAGTACAACCTTGTAGTATATTGTAAGGATACCTGTACAAATATAACCGTTGGCAATGACTGAGGGTGGACATCTTGGGTTAAATGAGGGGGGCACTGTGAACAGTTTTAGAGACAGGTGTGATTTGTGATTACTAAATTATATAAACGGCTAATCCTAAACTTCTTTCAAGCAGAGGACTTTTTCCCTCTCATCTGCTATATAACTAAATATTCAATGTATATTGATGTATACCATGCTTGCTTATACATTGTAATTTCATGTTTGCATGTTCATTTTTGTTTGTTTTTTAAATGTCCAAATAAGTATGTTATTTGTGTATGAATATTTAAATGCATATTATTGTTTTATATATCAAATGTATAAAAGATTACGTTTTACATAATTGTGTCAAATTCATAACTACGCTTCTTAGTCTTAGTGAGGAATAACATCTTTTTTGTTCAGATTAATATTTCTCAGGAATAAGTCTGGCATCCCTTTGACCTCATGCCTAAAGAAGCTCCTTGGGGTTTTCACGAGTAAGAAATATGGCATTTATATTGTTAATCATGGATCATGGATGGTTGTAATAGATGCAGAATTTCTATGTAAGATACTGAAATTAAATGATGTACATTTTATATTCAGTATATTTGAAAATCAATCATAGAATGCTTGCATGTTACGAGGAAATATGAAGGCCATAAGCAGTGCTATGGTTTCCTGGTATTGTAAAGACACATATAATAAAGAACATTCTGTTTGATCTTGAAATTTAGAATAAATATTAAATCTTGCTGATCTCGATATCAGTTTCTGATCAAGTTATGGAAAAATCGTTGTCTATGTTGATATATCAGGATCTATTGGATCGTTTTTTAATTATAGTTTATTTTCGAGATGGATGGAGCTCATTCTGAATATATGCACATATATGCCAAATATGACTTAACTGTTTATTTATACAACTCAATAAATACATTATAAGCTTTTAAAAGTAAGTGTTGTTTTTTTATATAGAACTATTCAAG